GAATGTAGTAAACACCTCTTCAGTGAGGTGCACCGTTAGATTTAACACGGTTCGTTAATATGGAGACGTTATGCTGATGGAGACTTAACGTGGTTTTATTGTGAAAAGCCTGCAGGAAGCTGTAAAATGTATAAATGGTACAGTAAGAGCAGTGCAGGTGTAAAAAGYAAAGAAGAATCAGGTTTGTGTACTGTACATCTGTGTTTGTGTATGACTGTGCACATGCTGTTTAAATCATCTAAAGGTTGTTGGGCTATAAGGTACAAAACATTAAAAAAACAACAGTAAACTGAGACATGATTGTATAAAGAAGGTGATTTGTTAACTGGGGCTAAAGCTTTTGTAAAGGCAGCATTGTAACAAGGTGTTTTTAAATGTTAGTGACTGACTGACATGTCAGACAGCTCTCAGCTCAACTGTCAACAAATCATAAAATAACATCTGATAAAGAAGTGACACCAAACAGCCAGCACATCCTGCCACCTTTTTTAGTGACAGCTTCATTATAGCTACGAGCTGCATGGCCTCACCATTCAAACACAAGCTCAAAGTTTCACTAACTCTTTGTACACAAGTGAATAAATGTCACTGTTTTCCAAAGCAAACTGTCCTCTCTGACTCAGCWCTGTTCCAGAACAGTTACCTTGAGCCAGGGGTGGTTCAGAGCCTCRTAGACGGTGATCCTCTCTGCTGGGTCCAGCATCAGCATTCGTCTCACGAGATCCTTAGCGCTTTCTGAAATCTGGGCCCACTGACGAGGATTCATCTTAGCAGAAACAGAAACACAGGATTTACAGCTGTGATGGAGTCAGGTCTGTCTGAAGCACTGATGTGACGAGGCAGGATGTGCCTCTGTGTAAAATGTGCTGCACTTAGTGTTCAGCCTGGGAGGAGTAAGAAAACTACACACCACACAGCGGTAACACAATGACCCCCACATGCACAAATACACCAGAACTCACAAGTMTTTATTCCTAATAAATATCATGCTATAGGTGCATCCCAAACTGTAGTGGTTTGGGTGGGGGTCTTTTTTTATTTGGAGTGGGGGTCATTGGTTGACCTGATGGATAGCCCGTCATCAGAGCTAAACAACCAAAGAAATCTGAAGCTCCTGTGTTTGATAGTTTTTGAGCTGTAACCATTTTTACATGTCCAGACACCCCCTCTTTGAAAGGAGCCCCCTCCTCAAATATGGTGTCTATCATCAAACCGTTGGCT